AAACATTTTTTACAACATTAATCGAAAACGAAATCGCCACAGAGGAGCAGCCAGCCAGCGAACCGCCTGGTTCAATCCACTCGGTCAAACTCACTCTGCCACGCCCCTTAACAACTAAGAAATAGGGGGGCCAAGGTACCAGTACGGATTACCCGAGCGAGTGAGTGAATAGTGTGAATGCCTTATATTTCGTAGCGGTTTTGTGTTTTTTGAGCCAGGCGAGCAGACTCTGGAGCAGCCCCCATTTACCCCAGCACGAAAGAGATGAATATATGCCACAATGTTTGCCGAGTGCCTTTCACTTTCGGGCATCGCTGGGCACCTGTTAACTGTTTTAGTTAAAGAGCAATCCATTTTGTTTTGCCACAAGGAAAAGGAGTAGCGCCGATGTTCTATCCCCAATCCCCATCGCTATCGCCTGTACTAGTGCCATCTCAGTTCGCGCGCTACAAAGCTACGAGTGCGAAATGCAAGATAGAGTGCGAAAAAATAGCAGCAGATACAATTGAGATGGAGCTATTATTATATAGTTTTTTGGAACTTTTAATAATATTTAAATAATACCATTTAAAAGAATATATTGTCTTTTTTAATAGTTTAAAGTTGTTCCTTAGAGCTTTGTTTGTTGAACTTATTATCTAATAAAAAAAACTTTTGACGAGGTAAAATAATGGTGACGAACCTGCGAGACACGCTCCAAATATCTAATATCCATTTTTGGGACGAAAAATAAATAAATATAGAAACTTGAAAAACTATTCTTATACGGCATGTGTCTGTATTATTATCTGATTTTTTTTCAAATGCTCAAAAGAATAGGATTTAATTTAGTTTTTAATTTAAAATTGGCGTGTTGTTGAGGAAAAATATTTTGTGTGGAGACTCCCCCCCTAGTAAAATTTTACAGAATCCTTTTAATTTTACGAAAAATTTCCCTCAAACTGATGAACTTTTGGCAAATATTTTCACAAAAATGATTAATTAGTAAAGAAATACCTTTCTATACCTTTATACATATGTACTTTTTTATACATATGTATATTAAGTGGCTATATCGTATATAGTGTCTTCACGCTCACTCGCATGCTTTAGCTTCGTCACCCGTGGACCTTCCACACTGATTATTTGCAATTTAAGCTTTAAGCATTTATTCGAAAGCTAGGCAACAATTTGCAGCTATCTTCGAACTGAAATTACCAAACATAGCTTATTGTTAAAGCTCAGAACGCGAAACATAATTTCCACTTTAAATTGTCAAAGTAATTCAATAGAACTTGTAGAACGGCTACAGATATAAAAGTATCTTTATCAAATTTGATAGTATCTTCAAGCTTTAAAAGGACATCCCCCACGAACTTTAGTTCTAGTTACCATTCCACAGTGGTCCGGCTTGTATGAAGAGAGCGGCCAAAAATACTTCTAGTTGAGGTAGGGACTGGAAACTTGGCACAAAATATTTATATTTTTATTCTAAAATAATATATTAAAATCAGCCAGATCGGGCCACTATATCATATAGCTGCCATATAACTGATTGATCGAAAATGCTATAACTTAGGTGTTTTTACAGTTAGAGAGTTCAATTTTTGTAAGAATGCTATATTTGACAAAATAACACGACCTACCAAATTTCATAAGGATCAGCCGACTATATCTTATAGCTGCCATATAACTGATTGATCGGAAATGATATAACTTCGGTGTTTTTAAAGCTAGGGAATTCTGATTTGGTACGAATGCTCTTTTTGGGAAAATAATTCAACATGCCAAATTTCATAAGGATCAGCCGACTATATCCTATAGCTGCCATATAACTGAAAAAACGGAAATTACCCAACTTTCATGTTAAGATGGTGTTAGTATTTTTACGATATTAGACACATAGGCAAATTTTGGCAAAAAATTTTTGCACGTTTGTTACCCTTGGAGACCGACAAACACATTGGTATATAAACGAACTGTAGAATTTTGTGGGATCACTACTAAAACTTCAGCTAAACATGAAAAATACGTTCAAAATATAGGAAAAAAACATGCATTAGTTCATAGTAATATAATAATAACAATAATTATTATAAATATATCAAATTATATCTCATTTTATAGAAAATACCTTCAACTTCAAAATCCATTACAAATAATTTGAATTTGAACACGTAAATAATGATCTGACCACTTCAAAGTGCGGTATAGTTGTGAAATATTCGTGATGCGCGCAGCCGCGCTTTGCAAATGAGCATCTTCAAATCATTTTTTAGAAAATCCAGTTAGATTTTTAGACAAATCTGGTTTGTCATGAAGAAGCTTGGACATTTAAGAGGCGATTTGTTTACTTTTCGATTATTTTTGTCGTTATTAATTTTTTTATTTTTGGCCTATGGGAGCAACCACTGTGCATTCTAAGCTAGGGTTAGGGTTCCGTTTTAATGTAGGTTGGGGGTCCCCGGTCCCTCTTTTGTCCCATCTTTGGCTTTCTGATAAAACTTTCAATCCGCAAAGCACAAAAAAAGCATTAACAGGGCTTTCTGCATGTGTGGGGGAGGTGCTTTTGATTTAATAAAGTTGTTTTCAGATACCTAATCCATTGATAAGAATATTATAAAAGATTTTTAAAATTTATCAAAAAAGAAGATGCATTTTATTTAAAAAAAGTTATTGAAAAGTATTTTCTATCAGTACCACAAGTGAAGATCACTTCAATCTTCTTCTGAAACTCATCTTATCAGTATATGTTCTTAAACTATTATGAGATACTTAATAATTCTTTTGAATTAAAACGCTTTTGTTAAAGTTTTCGATTTATTGTGCTTGTAGATTGCCCCAGAACTTTTACACTTGAAGGTGAAAAAAAAAAACATTGCACTCTTCTTTGAATGCAGCTTGCGGAACAAGTTTAGAACTTAAACTTTGTCCGAGGGAGAGAGCGAATCGGAAATCCTCTTGAGAATAGATTTTCACGTGGGTGGGAACGAGCCAGGGCTATCGCTAGATTGGAGAACCCAAAAAAACAAAAAGGTAACCGAACCCGAGAAGAACCCGAGAATATCCCCAAAGACCTTCACGCCGCGTTCCCCCTGCGCCAATTGGTGATGTACATATACATATATATAGATATGTTTTTATAAAAAGCACTCGGAGGTGAACTTGACAGATTTAACTTTTTTCAAGTTTTGTTTCGGAATACCAAAAAGCGGCCGCCTCGCAACTTTGGCAAGTTAATTTCACATGGAAGCTACGATTTTGAAAGTTCTTGTACTGGGCGCTGAAAATCGTCGAAGGCTTTAGCAGGGCGATATGTATTTATTTTGAAACAGGTCGATGATGCTTGAGGGCTTCCCGGGGGTATCGAAGCGTCAGCGGCTGGGTCAACCGATCCGAGCTGGCATACTTATTTTTGGTCGAGAGCTTAAACAGCTTTTTAGTATGCTATTATAAAAAAAAAAAAAAATCGTATTCATTCATTTGCTTGAAAAAATACATTTAAGAACCTTTCAAGTTGAAAGCCTTTTTCGCCAAAAAATATATAGTGTCAGTGAACGCGGTGAAGATAAAAAGATATAGTACACTGAACAAAGTAATTACTGGAATTTTTAGAAATCTTTTAGAACCCTAATTGTTTCTTAAATTGTGAGTCTAACAATTTTATATGAGGAATAAACTTTTAAATAAATGTGATTATACACTTTGAGTTCTAAACGATCTTAATTTTATTTAGTAACTTTATCTCCAACTAATCCTAATTCTTAATATTAATATTAAACCTAAAACCACAAATCTCTAAAAAAAAATATCTCAAAATATAAATATTTCTCATATATCATAAAGAAGACTAACAAAACCAATATTATAAATTAAAATGATTAGAAAGTGAATCAGATTTCTTCTTAAATCTCAAACTTTCAACCGTAATTTATTATGGTATTGTATCTATAAGATTTGGGAAACCTCCCTTATGAATAAAAATATATTCCATAAAGCGGGGAACCACCCGCATCGTCCTCTTTCGTTGTATCCGCAAAAAAATGCACGCACAACGAAATGCAACGGCGGCGGCAACACCGAGTCCCCGAAAATCACTCATTCGGTGTAGAATTATTGTAATCCCCACCAGGCTCCCATAGACCGTCAGTTGGTCGATATCCCCAAGTGCTTTCTCCACGCGACGCTTTTGACAGCGAGTGCGAGCGGTACGGCAGGTGACAGCTCAGCTTTTGGCACGCCCCCATAGCGCCGTCCTGCTTCGGCCCAGTGCTGGGAATCCGGTGTGGCCGTAAAAACGAATAGTGCCAAAGCAGCGCAATCGTTGGGCTTTTTTCGCTGGGCTCCTGTTGAAAAATTCACAAAAAGCCAAAATAGCGCGGAACGTATAAATCGGGTACACGACGTTCCGCGCTCGCTCGCTCGGGGAGAACGGCGGCGAACAATTTCAAACTTCCGGCAGTTATTTTTGAAAATTTTTCTTCGTTTGCCGGGCTTGGGGCAGCATTTTGTTGGTTATTAAAAGCGTTTTTGGTACGCCTTGGACTTAGTTTTAATTATTAAAACTGATTATTGTTAAATTCAGCTTTTTTGTGTTTTTAATTGTAAGATTTAGGTTTTTAATGGTAACCCGCGCAAATTTAAATTATATTAATAATGGTCTAAATTTTGTTTGGCTTTTAAGATGTCTTCATTATTTGTTATTTTTGGGGGTAGTGGCTATTCAAAAAGTCGATTTAAATGTTATATTTTTGTTATAATAGCGTATATAATTGTATTTTTAAGGTTTTCACATAGCCCGCGGAGTTTAAAATTGGTAAAGGACAAAAATGTGGTAACGTTCTTTTAAGATTTTAATCAAAATTTCAAGAGTTGTTTATTTGCTACGAAATGTAATAGTTTTATAATTATTATCGAACACAATAAAACTAAATCTCAACTATAAAATGTAATCCACTTTATTTTCTTAAGCTGACAACTCTTCAAGTGCATTTTTTTTAATTCCCTTTCGTTGAAAATCATCTGTGAACGAGTCTATTTTTAAAACTTACAAGAAATTGCAGAAAATAAAGTGCAAATCGTAAACTGTCGCACTTGCGTTTAGAGGTGAGTGATGTAAATATTTAAATCAAAAATAACTAATTAAATCCAATAACAAGAAAACATTCCAAAGAAAATAAATTAGCTAAATTAAAGACTAGAAACATAATTTAAATTGCTTTAACTAATTACAGCAATTACATAACAAATCTAAACGATTATGGCGCTGCCCGAGGGACTGTCCAACAAAATGAAGGTTTTCCAAGTAAGTTTGTCAGTTCATTCTTTAAAACATTACTAAATAATATTGTATTTTTAAGGCCGTCAACGAACTGCCAGTTTTCTTGAAAGGTGGACCCGCTGACAAAATCCTTTTCGGTATTACTGCTGGACTTTGTGGAGTGGGTATCATTAGCTTTGTCCATTTAGTCTACACCATGGGCTTCACCAAGAAGAAGGCTTAAATAAGGATTATGTGTATAAATTTGATTAAATAAAATCATATCCACCTAAAAAATTGTTTTAAATAAACCGCCTTACTGAATTATTCCCACAGCAAGGTAGAGCAACACTGCTTGACTATTGTGAATGGTATTTTGAGCATTATAGAAAATACACTCTGGTCACACTGAAAAGGGAGGAAAATAAAAACAAAGAAATTTCCATTCCTCATAATAATTAAATCATAACAATAAAATCACAACACAATGGAGCCCAACGACGAGGTGGTGGAACGCCAGAAACTAGTGCCAAACGATGTGGAAACTGAGGAGGAAGCCCAAAGCCAATCAGCACCGAAATCAGCTCCAACCCCCGCCTCGCCAGCCGTACCAAATGTAAGATTTTTCTTGAATGTCTTCCCCCACCCACAGATCTTGATAGAATCTCTGATTCTCTTGGGTATATACAGATCAAAATAAAAGGCATATCCAGCGGAGAGACCACACGCAGCAGAAACTCTGCATCCTGTTCCATCGAGCGCACCATATCCGAGAAGGAGAAGGATAAGAATCCGGGACAGGGCCAAACGACGGCCACCAAGGTGACATATGTGAATGAGCGCCGGCCACGCCCACAGGCCCATGGTGGCAGCGGTGGAGGAGGAGGCGGTGGTGACGAACGATTCGAGTTCAAGACGCGACCAAGAAAATTGCTCAAAGGTGGGTCTAAATAAGAGACAGATTTACTCATCAGTTCTCCTGATCTATATTTCAGTAGCTGTGGACACGGTTTTTGGTATTAAGCAGGGTTTTCACTATGATTACAATCATAGATGTCATAAAATGTGTTAAATAGCGTCCATAAAGGATACTATGTATATCAAACAAATGCTATTTAATCCACGTTTATTGATAGCAAGCACACTTGACTAATTACTGGCCATCACCATTATCGAAGGCCAGTTGTCTAGCGATGACGCACTTTCCTAGCCGTCCATATGGCCGGAATACATTACATTTCACACCCACCCGACATCCGCACACGAACAAAAATGCCGCCAACCACGGCATGGGATTGGTTATAATTTTAATAATTGAAATTACAAGCTTTCAAGCCGCTCGGCGCCCAGTGCGAAAAGTTAACAAGGCGGCAGGACATTGGACTGTCCTTTGCCAAACGTTGACCCAATCGGTTCGGTTCACACGGCACAAGCTGTAGTTTGTTTTAAGGAGTTAGTAATTGGAAAAGTTATTAAATTATATGATTTTTTGTGGATTTTGTTGTGTATTTGCTAAGTTACTTAAATTAGTATTATTATATTTTATTTTAAATCAATAAATTACATTATAATAGTATGTTATGTAGTTATAACATAATATATTATGTATTTTTTATATTATCTACACCTTTCTTTTTCAAACCCCATCACATTTTAGTTTATTTATCTATTTTTTAGTGTTAATTATTTTATTTGATTTATTTTTCTATTATTTCATTTAATTAACTTTTAATTTTTGTTTATTTTTTATATCATTACTTGTATTTGCATATATCCTGGTATGATTTTGACGATAAACAGATAGCGATCCTTTGGCACCCACCCACAGCAGTGCTAGCAGCTTGAATGCCATCACTTTGGTGAGCAGCGAGTGGCTGGCACCAGAACCCTCCATGACCACCAAAAACAACCAAAAAACACCAGAACACAACAATAATAATAATAGCAACAACAACAACGATAGCACAAAACCCAACAATAACAATCACTCGAATAATAGTAATCAGAATACACCGCGATCTCAGCGTCGCAAAAATCCGAGTGCATCGATGCCAAGTGCCAGTGTCCACAGTGAAAAGTTTGATGATCGTCCCATAAAACATCATTCATTTGTCTCCGAAGTTCCCGATGTGAAGCATATGGAGCGAGCCCTCCTGGGATTACTGGATGATTTCCATTCCGGCAAACTGAAGGCATTTGGTAAGTGTTTAATATTTGTAAAATATTAGAAATCCCTTTCATAAATTATATATTTTTTCTAAGGATCTGGTTGCACTATGGATCAAATGACCAAGATCCGGGAGCAACAGGAGAGCCTGGCCAAATTGCATTTCGAGCTGGCTGCCGCCGAGGAGGATTCCTTAGAGCACGGCAACGAGTTCAACACAAACAAGGCGCAGGAGAATATGCTGCAGTTGATGCAGCGCCTGGAACAGCTATCCATTTCCATTGAGCAGCTCCAGACCAGTCATACGGGTCTCTGAGAGTTGGCCCAGCCGCAGGCCTGGCATCCCCAACGCCTGCTCTGGCTCTGAGCACACCGAAAAAAAAAAATAATAATAATTAGTGAAGGTTTTTACACGAGATTAGCAAGAAAGATGTTTTTGCAGGTTGCATTGCCCTGGTATTTTGTGTAAATATTTTTAAGTTATACTCGTAAGTGGATGAGATCAATGGGCTTTTTAATGCTAAATAGTTTAGCAAACTCGCAGTGATTGTGAAACTAATTTAGATTTGTCTTCGCATAGCCATAGCCGATAGCAATAGCAATAGAATTATGGAAATTATATAAATTAGAAGGTGCCAAGGTTTGGTGCTAAAAATTCATTCATTTCGATTCGATTTGTGTGCTGCAGGTTATCACGGCTTCGATACTAGTTCCCCTTATTGTTTGTTATAGTTATTTGCAATATAAATATAAACACAATTTAATCATACAATTTTTACAAAACTCGGAAAACCTATTAAAGTTATCATTTTTATAAAGCATTTTTTAAAGCAATGTTTTTATTGAATAATCTTAATGGGATTTTTTAATGGGGTTCCTAGGAAGCGGAAGCTTTAAAAATGGAAATAAATATTAATGGACTCGATAAGAAAAGAGCTCATAACCCAAGGGAAATAAATTATATGGTTTTAAGTTTCATTTGAAAAATTTTCTCTAGGGATATATCCATTTTTCATATTTTTGATAGAATTATAGGAATAATTGTTTTGTTAATTATTAATTATCAGATTACTTGGGCTATATAAACAAATATTCTGAGTTTTTTTTTGTTCTTAGGAAGCGGAATTCCCCAAAAGCCATTAATGCCACGGCCCCATTCCGCCTGTATCTGGAGGGCGGGGTAAGTTCTTTAAGAATTAATGGAAGAGGTAGGGAAATCCACCGCGGATTCCATTCTGCATGCACAATATCCATTCCGGGATGGGCATATCAATGTGAGAAATGAACCTTTGGACAAGTGCATTCGTACATAGGAAATTTTATTCCGTCGTTCTTCTTTTTTTTATATTTAATTTCAGAATTTGTATTCAGATGGTGTCCTGGTAACCCTCTCTTACCTGTCATGGTGTAGTCTCAGCCAGGTTATCTCTGTCTTGTGGTTTTTGTTCTTATTGTGTTTTTTTGTTGATTGGAAAAAGTAATTTGTTGTTTGTTCTTTCTTTTTAATGTTGGTGTAAATCCGGGTTTCAAATAACAAGAACGATACACTGAGAGATAGTTTGGGGTATAAGCCATAAAAAATAATCCAAAATACCAAAAAATAACCCCAAAATGGAAAATAATTAATTACAATTTTCCAAACCTTTCTTTCAATAACTTTCCTTGATTTTCCTCAGTGCACTCTCCCACTTGTTGCCTTCACTTTTCCCCCTTTTCTTGGGTCTTCTGGGGGAGTTCTTTGCCTAGCGGTTTGATGCATTCTTTGGGCCTCCGTCTCCGATCTCCGGTCTCCGTTTCTCCGGCAATTGCGTCGAAAAATGAAGAAATAAACACTTGGACCGTCGCATCCGCTACGCTGCATACAAATGCCATGCCGGCTTCTGGGACGAACGGACAAGGGCGTGGCAGAACGGGGCGAAGAACCCAAAACAAGCAACACGCCACATCTATCCCAAATTGCTGCAAGTGCCACTGGCATTGCCACTGCCACAGGTAGTGCCACTTCCACACACATCGTCAGAGGCGGCGGCGTCGGTGGCGGCGTCCATGGATCCACGTTCCATCACGTGCAAGGATGGAGTTGGGGGGGAGTTTTCGAGGCGTTTTGGGATTGGACATGGAAATGGGGAATATCCGCGGCACCGCGGCATTTTAACCTAACCAAGGCCCATCCCAGCACTGTGAGAAATGTGATTGATTTTTAATTTGGATTTAATTGTAGGTTATTTTAAGAACATATATTAAAAGTCTAATATTTAGGATCTAATATTTTAATTCAAATTTATTATAACCTTCATATATTAATTTTTCTTACATTTTTCTAAAACAAAACTTCTGCTTGAAAAAAGAGTTCTTTGAAAAATATATAAGTCTATAATCTATATTTATAATAAGGATAAAAATCTTTAAAAAAAAATATTTAATAAAAGATTTAAATCTTTTAATATCTTCTTTTTATAAAAAATGCAATTCCTAATGTTTGTTTTAAAATTTCATAAATATTTCCCTTGTTGTAGAGCTCAGAACATTTGTTGAAAATATATTTGAAAATGGTATTATATTTCTTTTAATATTTATATCATTAATATTTTTAATATCTTTTAATATTTTATATCATATTATACACCAAATTATAGGTATTTGTCTATAGAATAGACAGAATCAATAGAAAAGAGATATTTCTAGTTTATTTTCAAAATAAAAATCACAAAATAATTTTTATGTTAGATTTTTTCAATAATAACAATCTCTGAAAAATTTTTATAGTCCCTGGAAAATACATATATGTATGTACATATTTTGAGAACCCTATGTCATGTTCCAATAACTTCAAAAAAATGTCAAAATTCCTTGAAAAATATTTTCAAAAACATAAATTTTCTTGCAGTAGTGGAATGCGCCAAAGTGGCGGTTTAGCGTTTGGTGGGTGCAATACGGGATCCGATTCGTATCACATTGGGATCGGGGATTGGGGATTGGGGATTGGGATTGGGGATTGGGATCGTTGGCAGTTCATCGAATCCGAGTGTTATGTAAAGACGGCAACCGAAAGAAGTCATTAAATATGTGAAGCGCATATCAAATTTCGAATGAATTGAACTTACTTGGCTTGGTCACATGAGAATTTGATGAACTGCCAAAGCCGGACAATGGAGTGCTTGTTACCTGGGTACCTTTCTGGATGAGGTTCAGGGCAATGTTAAGGTGGGGTCGCTATTTATATGTATGTGTGTATTATATAGGAGGCGACACTTGTTGCCCGAGAAAGGCAATCCGATATGCTACGGTCGTCGTCGGGGCACTTCATTAACCTGAACTCTGACTCCTGGAAGAAGTCAACTTTGGGCACTGAAAGAAAATATTTTATATTATAGGATATATAGGGTTCTTAAAGAGTTTCTATAATAGAAGTTCCACCACCTCCTATAATGTCTTAGTTCCCTCATATCTTAATAATTAAACTTTTCAAGTGTTTTGTCAACTTAAAGCCCGTCTCAGATGTTCGAGCCCGTCTGGACTTAATCCTGGCCACCCATGAACTAAAATACCCCCATCAGAAAGGCCAAGAAAGAGTCAGCATGAATGCCAGTGAGAGAGACAGTGGTAGGTGCTCTGGTTGTGCGGAAATTACGTTGCTGATGAGCAGCTCTGGAAAAGCGGAAGACGCACGAAGCTTTTCCACCTACAGGAAGTGCGACAAAATTCAAACAGACTCGGGCGCACAGTCCCCCAACGGCTCTTCCTCTTGCTGGCTCTGCATCCTGCATCCTGAATCCTGCTGCTGCCACTACGGAAGCAAAAAGCGAAGAGTGAAAGGACGATGGCGATGGCGGTAGAGGGCAGGGGAGGACAGATGGGTCCGAGTGGGCGGTTGGGGAGGCCAACTGACAGCTCTGGGCTCTGCCGGTTGGGCTGGCATAAATGCGCACACGGCAAAAGGCAAAAAGTTTCCTGCCAGGAGCCAGGACTCCCTTCCAAAGAGGAAGTGACTAGTGGGCGGGGCAATGGGCCAAGTGGGTGGCAGTTGAGGGGAGGCTGGGTGGTCGACTGAAATGGCGGCGGGTGGTTTGTTATCGTTATCCCACAGCAAACAGGGCGAACAGAGGGCGACGTACTTTATTTCCTGAAAATGTCCTCGAAAATATGAACATTATATCCCGGAAACGGAAGCTGCAGCATTTGCAAGGAAGTGACAACGCAAGGATCAGGAGTGGAAGCGGGGCGGCGGGGTGGGTAGGACGTACAGCAGGAAACACCCGAACAGGAGGGGCGGCAGGCACAAAACATTTCGTGAACGTGGACGACATATACATACATACGTGAATGTGGATTTGGATGGGTTTGATTAAAGCGGGTAAACAGCAGCGACAGAAGACCAGGACGAGGACCAGGAACAGGACCAGGACCAGGATAGCGTTGAAATGTACACACAAGTAGAACAGGACACACAGGACCCACACTGCACACAGGGCCTAGGACAGAGGAGAGCCTAAAACAGAAAGAAATTTAATATAATAAAAAAATATTTAATAATTAAATAAAGTAAAGAAATTTAAAATAAAAAATAAATATAAATAAAATAAAAATAATAAAAAAAAGTTACTTTCTTTTCGACCGTGACAGGACTCGAACCTGCAATCTTCGGATCCGAAGTCCGACGCCTTATCCATTAGGCCACACGGTCGCTTGAAATATGAGAGTTTAATGTTCTATATGTAGATTACTCTTCGCTCACATGTATTTTTATGGAGAAAGTATATATGATTTTTTTTCAAGTGAAGCTGGTTGGACATCTGACTGGGATGTCGCATCCTGCAGGAAGCGTGACGGTTGCTGCCGGCCTCCCTCCCTCCAGGCACTTTGCTTCCTGCTTTTCCTTTCCCATTTCCCATTTTCCTTTCACCCCCCTCCGTGGCCGGAAAATAGCAAACGGAATGCGAACGGCAGAAGCCTTTACGTCAAGGAAATGACGGAAGCAGCCCCAGTGCCGAGCAGGAACCGAATCAGCCTCCGTCTCAGCTGCTCCGGACTGCATCTCCGGGCTTGAGATTCCGGTCTTTGGGACACCGGAGTGGAGCTGGTATCCCCCTCTCTATCTCTCTATCCCTTGGGCTGCTTTGGAAGCGGAAATCAACGTCCCATGGGACGTAAATTAAATTCCATGCAAAGTTAATTTTTCTCACCAGCTCCTTAGTTGGAGGGGGAGAGCGAGTCTGGAGCAGCTTAGTCCGGAGTCTGAAGTCTGGAGTCCGGACAACTGAAGAAGTTCCATTTCCGGAGGCAAAGGGAGATATATGAGGTGACAGATATAAGAGAAACTTAATAAATCTTGAGATAAATGGGTTGTGAGAATAAATAAAAGAAACAATAAACATGAATTCTATAAAATACACAAAGTTTAATGAATAATTAATAAAAGATTTAATAAATATAAACTTTTCTTTGAAAAAAAATGACCAACTTCCTTGCAAGGCAATTAGAAAGATGCTACATCCTGCCTGGGATTGGCATTTCCCAATGATTCCACTTACCCAAATCGGGACTGGATCGATAGCTACCCCCCTCTAATTTTTTCCCATCTAAAAATGGGGGATATGGGGCTATGTAATTTACCTCAATGATTGCCACAGTAGCCTCCACTCCCTTCCTCCCGGTGTCTACAAGATCTTGGCCAATCTATGGCCAATGTACCGCTAGATGCGATGCCTGGACCATAAACAGAGATCCCAAATGCGAAGAGAGCGGCTCGGCTCGGCTCTGTAATTGAGTTCCTCCAGCTGGAAATGGTCAATTGGCAAATAGCAGCGACAATAAATGAATC